TGAAAAATCATCCACTGAGAATCCTGTGAGCACAGTTCTACTCTGACACACGGGGCACCATGAGTGGGATCTACTTATGAAAACTCATCCACTGAGAACCCTGTGGGGCACAGTTCTACTCTGACACACACAGGGGCACCATGAGTGGGATGTACTTATGAAAAATCATCCACTGAGAACCCTGTGGGCACAGTTCTACTCTGATACACACGGGGGCACCCTGAGTGGGATCTACTTATGAAAAATCATCCACTGAGAACCCTGTGGGCACAGTTCTACTCTGACACACACGGGACATCATGAGTGGGATCTACTTATGAAAAACCATCCACTGAAAACCCTGTGGGCACAGTTCTACTCTGACACACGGATTCCACTTTATGGCTACTAAATTGATGTTTATTCTGAGTGTCACAAGTGGTTAAGTTGCTTGATTGAAAGGTTGGAGGCTCGAGTCCCCCTAGAGGTGAGTTGTAAGGCTTATTGTTGTTGTTGTCAGGTGCCATCGAGTCAGAACCGACTCATAGCGACCCCATGCTTAGCAACCTTGTTTTCTCTCCTCTGTCATGTACTGTCACTACAAGTCCTGAATGAGTCAGTGGCAGTGGTTTGTTTTGCTTGCATTTAGTTTGGGCTAGGCTTTCTTGTTTTTGTCCTAGGTTAAACGAATGGAAAACATTAATAGAATGAGACCTCAAAAACATGACTTTTTCTGAGTGGATGAGGTGGAAGGAGAAGTCTAGAGGATTGTAAGCATGACACATGCTCTCGTGTTACTCATTCTGGGATGTGAGTGTCATCTGGTCCACCAGAGATTCACGTGGTAGGAACCAAGGGCAGCCTCCAGCCATCCGTCGGTGAGAAAATATAAATGTCAGGGTTCCAATCAGAGGAAGTGGGTTCCGCTAGTATTTAAATGACCGTGTTGTTATTGGATGCCATCAAATTATAAAGGACAGAGAGAGTACGTCCTCCACAGGATTTCTGAGACTGTAAATCTTTAAGGGAGCTGTCTGCCTCCGGTTTCTTCCTCACAACAGCCCGAAGCTTAACCATCACACTTAACCAGCGTTCTTTCCAAGTGGGTTTTCCCCAGAGCCTTCAGACAAGTTCATTGCCAGGAAGCTCAGCCCAGGCCCTTGAGCTACAGAATTCTGAGAGAAGTCCACATGGGTTATTTTAAGGTGCTAAATTTGTAATAAGTTGGTATAGCAGTCACAGGAAATCAATTCCCACAGAACCCAGTGTTGACAGTTGACAGATGAGGAAAAGACGCACACAATCAAGGTGCCAATGAGTTGCCTCCCACTCACGGTGACCCTGTGAGGTCAAAGCCTTGCCTGGCTTACACCATTTTTTGTAACTGAGTTTGTCTGCTTAATTCCATTGTAGTGACCATGAGTGACTTCCAATCCAGGGGGCTCAACGTCAGCACTGTATGGTATAATGTTCTGTTTGATGATTTTCAGGATTAGATCACCAGACCTTTCTTCCTTGTCTCTCTTAGCCTGGAAGCTCTGTTGAAACCTGTCCACCATGGTGACCCTGCATGGATGTGAACTGCCGATGACATAGCTTTCAGCACCATATTGGACAATGTTCTTTTGTGATCCATAAGGTTTCCATTGGTTGATTTTCAGAATTGGATTGCCAGACCTTTATTCCTCATCTGTCTTAGTGTGGAAGCTCTGCTTAAACCTGCCCACTGTGGGTGACCTTGCTCGGATTTGAGATCCAGATGCCACCGCTTCTAGCACTATAGCAGACAATGTTCTGCTGTGACCACTAGAGTTTTCATTTGGTAACTTTTGGATGTAGATCACCAGGTCTTTCTTCCTAGTCTGCTTTAGTGTAGAAGCTCTGTTGAAATCTGTTCACCATGGTGACCTTGCAAGGATTTGAAATATTGATGACATAGCTTCCAGAACTATATCGGTCAATGTTCTGTTGTGATCCAGAGAGTTTCCATTGGCCGCTTTTCAGAATTAGATTGCCAGACCTTTCTTCCTCATCTCTCTCAGTCTGGAAGCTCCTCTGAAACGTGCCCACCATGGGTGATCCTGCTGGTATTTGAAATACGGATGACATGGCTTCTAGGGCTATGTTGGACAGTGTTCTGTTGGGATCCAGAGAGTTTCCATTGGTTGATTTTCAGACTTAGATTGCCAGACCTTTCTTCCTAGTCTGTCCTAGTCTGGAAGCTCCTCTGAAACCTATGTACCATGGGTGACCCTGCTGGTATTTGAAATCCTGCTGGCATTGCTTCTTCTAGCATCACAACAACACACAGTCTCCCCCCTCCCCCCCAGTGGGACAGACAGACAGATGGGGATGGATAGATGACTTGGCCAGGATCTCTCAAACCATTGCTCGGCTTTGTGGAGAAGAAGTACTCCCTCAGCTCTCAATTCATAGCCCTGAAAGTGTCAGGTGAGGGGAGAAATGGGTGTCCCAGGATCATACCGCTACACTTGATTGGGTCTCTGTGGAACCCCCGCCTGTGTCTCTCAAACCCCCTTTCCTTTTTGACAAACGATCAGGAATTTCACTGGTAAACCAAGACATGTCCCCTCCCTAACTGGCTCCCAGAAGCCCCTGACTCCTGGTCCTCATGAATATGAGTCTGTTGGTGACCGTTTTATAACTGGACACCTGAATGGGCCATGGGAACTTTTTCAAGGTTAGGAGAAAGGTGGCAGCCATTCTGAGTTTCTCTGATGCGCTTTGTTGGGCCTACCTGGGCCTACTTGGATATACCTGGATTTACCTGGGCCTACTGGAGCCTATCTAGGCCTACTTGGATTTAGCTGGGTCTAAGGAACTCTGGTAGCGTAGTGGTTACGAATCGGGCTGCGAACCTTAAGGTCAGTGGTTCGAAACTATCAGCTGCTCCATGGGAGAAAGATCAGGCTTTCTACTCCCGTAAAGATTTACACCCTCGGAAACCCTGTACAGGGTCGCTATGGGTCGGAACCGACTCAACGGCACTTAACAACAACCTGGGCTTACCTGGACCTTGGGCATACCTGAGCTTACCTGGGCATACTTGAGTGTAACCTGGGCCTACCTAGCCGAGTGGTCTTGTCCGGGGTCCTGGCTTCTGTTTTCTCATCTGCAGGCTGGGATTATCTTTCACACCCCAACCTCGGAATCTGTTACCCACCCCTCAGAGCCCACCTGAGGGGTCTGTGTGGAGGGCCAGGCCCCACCTGGCAGGTGCTCCCTAGGGATGGGCAGCAGAGTGAGGCCAGCTTCTTTCTGATGGGGTGTAGGGTCCTTGGTCCCAGCAGAGTTGGGGGTCCTGAATCTTAGCAAAGATCAGAATCCCTGTATATATATGTGGGGGGTAGGGGTTGGGGGTTGGGATAGGGTGTAGATCTGGGATCTCAATAGGTGTTAGGGGCTCAAGGTGGGGACCTAGGTGTGGGTCTGAGGACCTGGTGGAGAATGAGGGGAAGGTTTAAGTGTGTGCATGGCTGGGGTGGGGAAGGATTTATGTAGGCTGGGTCTCAGTAGGTGTTGGGGATCCAAGGTGGGGATCAAAATGTGGGTGTGGGGACCTGGTGAGGGTTCAGGGGAAGGTTTATGTTGGGGTTGGGGTGTGAGATCTGGGGTCCTGGCATGACTCTGGGTTGGGGTCCTTGTGGGACTCAGGAACCCAGGGGAAGGCAGGGTTCTGGTAGGGGATCTGTTTGGGAGTCTGGGGTCCTGGCAGGTACCTGAGGTGTGTGGTTGAAATAACCATGTGGATGGGGGGTGGGGAACCCAGGCTAAGTCCTAGGGGGCTTGGGTGGGGGTCCAGGGCTCACATAGGAGTCTGGATAGGGTATCACTGGTCCCAGTTTGGGGTCATGGAGAACTTGGGTGGTCTCCCTGTGAGGTGGGTTTGGGGGCCTGGGGTCTTGGTAGGAATGTAGAGTACAAAGTCTGGAGAGCAGGGTGGAGGTCTGTATAGGGTTCTACCAGGGAGGGTGAGTTTATAGAACAGAGCTCTGGGTGGGGGTCCTGGTATCTGGGTCAGGTTTGTGGTTCATGGGAGTCCATGTGGGGGATCCGTGAGGGTCCTGGTGGGGCTGGATTGTGGTCTGTGGGTATCTGGGCAGGGTCCAACGAGGAGCCATGGGGACCCTGAGGGGTTCTGGGTGGGGGTCATGTGATGTTACAGCAGAGGTCTCGAAGAAGGTCTCGGAGTAAGAGAGGATCCACGTGAGGCCAAGCGGCATCTGGGGAGGGGGATCTCAGAGGAAGGGTCTGAGATTTCTGAGAGGGATGAGTGAGGGTCTCTGGGTGGGTCCTATTGGGCGGGGATCCTTTTGAGGCTAGGGTCCTGGCGGGAGTCCCTGGTGGTGCATGAGCCTGGGTGGGGGGTGTTAGTGTTGGGTTGTGGGTCCAGGTGGAGGTTCTAATGGGGTTCAGGTGGGGGTCACAGATGGAGCCCACTGGGTGGGGGTCCCAGCAGGGTTGCAATTCAGGTTGGGAGGGGGTCATGAGGATCAGATCTTGGTGGGGGTCCATGGTTGGTCACGGACCTGGGTGGTGGTCCTAGCTGGGTCAAGTGGGGTCCTGTTGGCATGGGGGGGTCCCTGAGTGGGGGTCCGTGTTGGGGTGGTGAGTCCGGATAGGGTCTTGTTGGATAGGGGTCCCTGAATGGGGGGGTCTGTGTTGCAGTGGGGGGTGTCCCTGAATGGGGGTTCCGTGTTGGCGTAGTGGGTCCAGGTGGGGTCCTGTTGGCTAGGGGATGCCGAATGCGGTCTGTACTGGGGTGGTGGTGGGGTCCCCGAGTGGGTGTCCACGTTGGGCTGGTGGGTCAGGGTGGGGTCCTGTTGGTTAGGGGCTTCCGAGTGTGGCCCGCATTGGGGTGGCAGGCCGTGGGGCTGGGGGCCTGGGCGGGGCTGGGCGGGGCTCTCGGAGGCGGGCGGGGCGCGGAGGCGGGCGTTTCCGTCAGTCCGTCCAGCGTCGCCGTGTCCCGCGGGTTGGCGGCGCGGAAGCGGCGGGCAGCCATGTCGCTTTTGTGCGCGGTGCGGGCAGCCCTGCGGGTGTACGTGGTGGGCGCGGCCTTGCTCCTAGTACAGCTGGTGTACCGCCTGCGCGGGGCGCTCCCGGAGCCAGGTCAGTGCGGGCGCGGGCACGGGCGCGGCGGGGGCGCGGGGAGGCGCGCCGATCCCCGTGACCTTGGCCGCAGGGGGCGCGGGGAGGGCCGGGACTTGCGGGGCGCTCCTCCTCCACCCGCACCAGGACCCGCTGGAGGGGTGCGTGGCGCGGGGGTGGGAAGTGGGGGGGTGGATCTCTCACTGGGCGGCCTTGGGAGAGAATCCACTTTTCCCAGGCCAGGGCCGGGTCCCCAGAGCCAGAGCGCGCACTGGGGTCGGGCGTTGAGCCCGCGCAGACGAGGAGGGGAAACGGGGTGTTGTGAGCCCTGGCTCCTGGTCGGGGAGGTGGACACGGCCTTGCCCTGGACAGAGCGCCCTGGGACCGCCACTGGGTCCTAGGGAGAGTTCACTTCCGTTCAGCAAGAAATTTGTGTCTCCAGCCAGTTAACAACATCCTCTGCGTCACCGAGTGCAACTTGGCGGATTCCTATAGTCGTCTGAACAGGTATTCAGGGCTGGCGTCCTCTTCATTTACCTGGCTTGTCCCCTCTCTGTACTTGTTTACTTCGCAATGAGCATGGAGACGTTCTTACGCATTTCTTTATGATCTAGAAACAGCTGCCTTTCTCCACCCCCACCCACACACACACCAATTCATCATCATTATAAATAACTCGCTCACATAAATGCCATGTTTGAGAAATGGAAAGTCATGAATTTGTAGGCCTGCCGTAACAAATTCAAAGTGTTTGGTATTTCTGTACTTAGGTTCTTGCACGTTCTTGATGACCGGCCTCAGGAGACACCTTTGGACAACTGCTTTCTGCTTTCCATAGCGTTTTCATGAGCTGTCTACGGAAAGTAGATCGCCAGGCGTTTCTTCCAAGGTGCCACGGGGTGGTGGGTTCAAACCGCCAATCCTTGGCTTTTAGTCAAAGGCTTAACTGTTTAGGCCACCTTCTTGTTAAAGTGCTGTCGAGTGGGTTCCTACTCATAGAGACCGTGTATAGGGTTTCCTGGGAGGGTTGGTGGATTTCAAGTACCGACCTTGTGGTTAGCAGGCCTGTGCTTATCCTACAGCGCTACACCATGACTACTGAAAAGACATACGCCTGCCCATTCCTGAGAAAATACAAGCGAGCTAGCCAAACATCCTGGCATTTGTTATGAAACTGGTTTTGTCTGATATAATGACCCTCATTGAAGGGTGTCAGGAACCCCCTGCTAGGGTTCCCTGAGGCACACTTTAAGAACCACTGTGTGAAGTCATTTACTTCAGGCCTTAAAACAGGGCGTTTCCCCTTTAAGTAAATCTGTCTCCTTTTACATTTTATTACCAGTATCTTTATAAATCTGATCTTTATTTGTCTTTGGGGGTTGGAAACAGTACATTAAAGCTTGCAATATGTATTTTAACACACATATAAAAAACAAAAACAAAATAAAACTACAATCGTAACTAACAGTTTACTGCGACTATGAGAAGGGAGTTAAGCTACACTGGAATTTTACCAGTTGCACTGGTTTTCGATCATTCACCTTAGCCCTGGAAATGGAGGTGGTGGTGTGGATTTTTAGCTGGGAGCAAGTTGTTTGTATGTATGCATTTTTATTTTGTTCCCCCTTCATATACTGTTAAATTGTTGTTACGTGCCATTGAGAAAGTTCTGACTCATACTGACTTTGTTTGTGTAGAGTTTCCAAAGAGCAGCTGGTGGTTTGGAACCGTCAACCTTATGGTAAGCAGTCCAATCCTCATCCTACAGCGGGCTAAAGTGAAGCTTAAAGATAATGGAATTCTTCCATGAAATTTTTTTTCCCATCAAGTTCCCTTGAGATAACATTTCACTTTTTCCTATGGATTGAATCTGCCTGTCGATTTATAGTGGTTATGACTTGGGCTGCTAATCTTGAGGTCAGCAGTTTGAAACTACCACCAGTCCTATAGGAGAAAGATGAGGCTTTCTGCTCCTGTAAAGATTTACAGCATCGGAAATCCCATACAGGGTCGCTATGAGTCGGAACCGACTCCACGGCACACAACCACCACCGTCAATATTGTGGCTTTGTAGGATAAAGCATTGGACTGCAAGGTGGGCAGTTCAAATTCATTAGCCACTCTTTGGAAACACTATACAGGGTCGTTATGAGTTAGGGCTAACTCGATGGCACGTAACTAAAACAACATCAGTCTTTTGGGGTCCATGTTTATAAGCAATTGAAGTTCCTGATGTAGTTTAGGAAAAAAAAGAAAAAACGAAAAAAGAAAATAAAGCAAAATTCCAGCTAATCTTTTCATTGTAAGATTTTGTGACAACATTTCTCCTTCCTTTTCTTCATTACTTCTTCTTCCAAACCCATTAACTCCTGATGTGCAATTCACCTTCTTCAAAGTGTAGGAGCTGTTTCACATGGCGGTGGGAGGTTCTGAGATCAGCATTCTTGCAGTCTGGACAATTATCCCTACTGATCTCTTGTATCCTGTTATCCTGATCCAGTGTATAGAGCATGTTCCCATAGCTCCCATTAACCCTAATCCTAGCCCTTCCAGCAACGTGGAACTCCCTCCCAGGAGTGTTTGGAAGAGTAGATCATACGATTATGAATGATAATATCAACACATTTTAACGTAAGTAGTACATATTATTTACGATGTTGTTGTTGTTAAGTGCCATCGAGTTGATTCTGACCCATAGCGACCCTGTGTATGGTTTCCAAGGAGCAGCTGGTGAGCTTGAACCATCGACCTTGCAGTTCAGATGACTTTGCAGTTTGACGCATGAACCCACAGCGCCACACCAGGGCTCCTAAGATATACAAAAAACAACAGCAAAAACAACAAGAAAAAACCCCCCGAGGGTCATAAACACGGTTTGTGGTAACCAAAATGCATTGTAAGACGAGGACTGCTTGTATTTAAAAATACATCTCATCTTGAACTTCTTCCCAGCAGAGTAAGTTTTATAATCTTTTATATCTTTTTCCATCAGTCCAGGAGGCCTGGGAATATTTGGAACTCCTTTATAGGAATCAGAACTGAAAGTACGTACCCTTTCACAAATGGGATCAAGAATCGGCACCAGCGTCAGGGGCGTGGGGTGCGGGAACCTGCAAGGTACCTTTAAAATCAGGGTTCACTTGTCACTTGAGACATGGCTGCCTGAGCGGTCTGGAACTCAGATTTCTTGTATGCCATCATCTTGCTAACCTTCTTAAAAACCTGCTAATGAATTCCACAAACACATGTCATCGGGGTTGAGAATTGGATTTATATTTGGCACGGTTACTCGTGCAACTAACCTTACTTACTTTGCTCATATTCAACACTGTCATGTTCACAACATCACCTGCCAAGACTTGTTGGTTAGCAGAGAAAACCTGTGATGTGCCCACCTTCCCACGCAGCCCTGTTTCTCATATAATCGTTTTGTGTTAAGATGGGTGTTTGGAGTTTGGCCCCTCTCTGTTCCATTAGAAAGAACTTGACATCGTTCTGGAGAATGCGGGCTGAGAGAGTTATGTAAAAACCCAAACTGCTCCCAACCCAAGGAGCTCTGTAACGTCATGGTTTCAAATCTGGCAGCTCATCTCATGGTCGGCAGTTTGAAAGTTCCAGGTGTTCCGTGGGAAAAAGATGAGGCTTTCTGCTTCTGTAAAGATTTCTAGCCTCGGAAACCCTGTGCAGGGTCGCCATGAGTTGGAACTGACTAGGACACACCTCTGCCAACTCACAATACCTCTTCACAAAAACAGGAGAGAAAAGTTTTACGATTGACTAAGTCCTGTTGTTTGGTGCCTTAGATAGAATCAATTCTATCTAAGATAGGCTCATGGCCACCCCATGTAGAACACAACAAACTACTGCCCATCCTCAAAATCATTGTTCATCTTGAGTGCATTGATGATGCCACTGTGCCAGTCCATCTCCTTGGGAGTTTCCCTCTTTTTTTTTTTAAGGTTTTTATTGTGGATTGAGTGAAAGTTTACAGGGCAGATCATCAGTTTTACATTCAACAAATCAGACACCTTGTTTCATTACAATGGTTATAATCCCCTCCGTGTGCCATCAGTTAACAGTATTTCTCTCTATTCACTTTAGCCCTTTTGTTTTTATTTTTAAACACTCAGGCATATATAATAACTTGCAACATCAAAGGGTACCTTCTGCAAGTCTGCCTCCTGGCCGCCAGCTCTCAGTCCCTCTCTTCTCATGAATCTAGAGTCCTCAGCTGCTCTATCTCTCCATGCCCCATCTCTGCCTCCATCTCTGGTGTTGCTGCTTCTCTGAATAAGGTCTTGCATTCCGCTTGTGTTCTTCTCCCTTGATGGTCCTAGGGTCCTTTGTTTCTGGAGTGTAAAATTAATGACTCCCCCATTTTTGTCAACAAAACTTTTACCTTTACAATTGTGACAGTCGCAATTAGTCATGATAACAATTACTCACTATTGAATCATAAGACTCTTATCCCCATCTCTTTTCACCAGACCCATGTAGACAAGATGAAAACTATTCAGTGGGGACTCTTATCTTCCCCCATACACTGTTAAACTAAACGCCCTTTTAAACCTTGTAAGCCAGTCGTTTCGTGCCTTTATTGCCCCCTCATTTTAGGTAGCCAGTGTCTAAGTTGCCCGTCCCTATTTACCCTGTGTATAGAGAGGATAGCATTGATACTTGATGTGAACACTCCTTCCCTCTCTTTTGGTATTTACAGTTACCACCTCCATGAGTAGCTTTCCCTGTTTTTCACTGATCCTCCACTTTACCAAGCCTGATGTCCTTCTCTAGGGACTTGTCCCTCCTAATAACATACCCAAAATATCAGGAACCAAGGTCTTACCATTCTGACTTCTAAGGAGCACTCTGGCTGTATTTCCTCGAAGTTAGATTTGTTGGTTCTTTTGGCAGTCCATGGTACTTTCAATATTCTCCTCCAACACCACAATTCAAATGTATCAATTCTTCCACAGTCTTCCTTATTCACTGTCCAGCTTTCACATGCATATGAGGTTATTGAA